CTTTTTTTCTTCTTTTAAATGTAAATTGTCTTGTTCAATTGGCAAAAGTCTTTTTTACCTCCTCAATCCGAGAACAAATGCACTTATTTTAAGAAAAACTACTTTTTCTAGATTTCGATTTCTTCCAATGTTTAAAAACCACATTCCACCAAACTATATGATAGTAAAATAATGTATCATATTAAAAAAATAATTATAAACATTAAAAGAAAGTTTTTTTTTTACAACTCTCTTTTCTAAATTCAATGAAAAAAATAAGTTAATATATTGAAAAACAAACAATCCCTGAATCCTGAGAGAGAAAGGTTATTTTCAGCGTACTTGTTTCCACTCGGTATGGATTGGCAGCCTGTCAAAATGCCGCCCTCTTTAGGACCTCATGACTCTGAGGAGAGTTTCAAACAAGCAACCCTTCTGCTTTCCACACATAGCTCCATAAATTGTGTTTTTTTTTTATTCCTCACACAGCAGAGTAAAAATGCAGATATTCATGGTGAAACATGCAAACTTTCTCTCATCATCCTACCAGCTGTGTCTGAGGGGGAAGCAGTGAAATGTTAGGATGGTTGTTGTTCGGCTGATTCAATTTATCCTCAGACTATAAAAACACATATTCATTTTTAAAGAAAAAACCTGTTTGACATCATATAACTTCTATTACTTAAAAATAGAAAGAAAAAGACGGAAGAAAGACCCATATTTGGGCTTGTTGTCTTGTCTGTTGTCTATCTTAATTTACTCCTTTTAAATGATTCCAAAAAAGTAAAAAAAAAAAAAACAATCCTCTGGACTTTGTTTCCAAGTTTAAAGACGTTTCGCTTCCCATCTGACATTTTAAATTTTTAATTTAAAATGTCATTTTTTTCTAGAACAGTTTAGTCTGTGACCCCGACCTGGGGGTTTGGTGCATTTACACGTATAGTCTCGTTATTTTTCCTGCTCCTTTTCTGCTAACTAGCATGGCTAGTGCTAGGGATGCCAACTCCCTGAATAAAAAGCTGACCCGATTATCTTTACCCCTCCTGGCGTGGCGATTTTCTTTTAGCCCCCCTTTTTACGTGAAATGATTTTTTTCAATATTTAACTCAAATCGGCATTGAATTAGATACATATTTGTGAGTGACATGAACATGGAAAACAAATTATTATCCAGCGATTCACTTTAATACAAACAGCAAGATTATCCAAACTTGTAAACATATTTAAATATATTAAATGTAATTACTGTAGGCTACAGTTGTAAAACAGAAAAAAAAAATCATTATGAGGATGAGGGTATTCTGTATCGTTACATAGATGTTGTCACCTCATTGGTCACAGCGTAGGACAGGGACGGGAACAAGTTTACCGTAATTTTTGTATCTAACGTGCCCTTGTTATTCATTTTCCATTAGCTTTTTAGTGACTATTTTTTTATTCTCACAGTAATATGGGACAAAGTGCGTTCCTTCTCCACTAAATAAGGTACAGGTACTTCTATTTCTAATAGGGTGGCCAGATGTCCGGCTTTAGGGCGGACAGTCCGGATTTTCATTGCACTGTCCGGCGTCCGGCGCTGCACCCAGCCGGACGTGTATTTGTCCTCCTTTACCCCCAGATTCCACATACTCCGTCAGCGCTCCGCCCCGCTCACGTACGGAGTACTTGTCTGTCATGTAAATCAATGAGAGCTGTTCCACATCCTCCGCTCGTCACCGCCCACGTACGTCTTCTCCGTCCTTCACCGTCAAAATACGGAGCTGAGCTATTTTTTGCTCCCCTCCGGTCCGTCCAGATCAAGACCCGCTATTGCAATCGCACCAAACAGAAAAAAGAATGTAGAGAAGACCCGGTTTGTCAAATTAAATTATAGTAAAAACAGATCGGTAACTAGAATTAGAGCATAGTTTGTATATATTCCCAAAAACTAAGAGCAATTAATTAAATAATTGGATGCAGACTATTGGTGCTTCAACAGACCAGGAAGAAGTTGTGAGATTCTAGAGTGAATCTCACAACTTTAAAAGAAAATTCTTATTGCAGGAATGGATGAAGAGATGATGAGTTTGGAAGCAGAGAATAAACAGAGTTCATACAAACTATGTATGATCCTAGTTATCCCTGTTACAAAAATCGGCAACAGAAAGAAAATATTTGGGCAGAAACTGAACATCTGCTGGATGATGATGGGGATTTTTTTAATATGTCAGATTCAATTAAGCGTTCACAGGTTTTATACAGGAATGAGGAGCTCTAATTTAATGCTCTTTTAATGCTATTAGAAATAATTTTAATGCCATCAACAAGTATCATGTACACAAGTTATTAGTTTACATGAAATAAGGAGCTGTAAGCACAGTTCCATGACTCAAGTTTATATATATATATATATATATATATATATATATATATATATATATATATATATATATATATATATATATATATATATATATATATATATATATATATAGATAGATAGATAGATAGATAGATAGATAGATATATAGATAGATATGGATAGATAGATATATAGATAGATATGGATAGATAGAGAACATGGTGAAATCATCTTTACTCTCGACAGGCTGCAGCCATGTCATGAATTCCTCTTTTCCAGCCACTTTTTGCAGTTTGCATCGTCCTATTCTCTAGCTCTTTCTCGAGCTTCTTTTCCAAACAACTGCTTTATGATCAATTGCAGCAGTTCTGCGCAAATTAATTGTGTTAAAAAATGGTCACTTTTTAAACACCACAATGTATTAAATAAATACAAATGCTGGGAACCAATTCTTTTTTACATTTCTTTAATATTTTGTTCTATTCAGCTACACAAGCATCCTCTTTAAACTACTAAGAATTGTGCTATAAATGTGACTTTACCCGATTCTTATGTACACCTTAGTAATTTATTGATATGCCGCACAATGTCCTCCTTTTTGGTGCTATAGAAATGGCCACCCTAATTTCTAAATACAGATCGATTCTGTTTTTCAAGGGACGGTTGGCAACCCTCGTGCTAGCCGTTTATCCTTCAAGCTGCTGCAGCGCTAAAAGAGTTAGCACAGAGCAGTGTGAATAAGCTGTTCTGTCTATAAGGCCCATAAGATCACAAGCTTCTTCATGTCCATTATATTAGTGAAAAAACAGGAAAAGATCTGAACATTTTTACTTACACTATCTAAGAAACATCGCAGGCTAACAAAGAAGCCAAACGACCCCCATTACTAAGGGGTGGACCCGTTCGTACGGTTTAATGTGCATGTTTTCTAAGCCAAAATAAGATTTTGTTGAGCTATTTCTGACATTTTGAATTGAAAAAGCTTCCTGTATAGGAAGCAAAACGTCTCCAAACTTGGAAGCAAAGTCCAGTGGATTGTTTTTTTCTTTTACTTTTTGGGAATATCTAAGAAACCGACTTCCAAACAAGCATCAGGATGTATTTTTTTTTTCTTATTCCAAATTTCTTCCAGTTTTATTTATTTTCCATCCCCATGCTCAGTCATCTCCGTACCGTCCGTATGTTTGAACTGGGATGAAAATCACTGCGCGCCCTGCATGCATGTAGAGTGGCTCTAAGAAGGCAGTCAAAAACTGCACTCAGCGGGCCCAGAAAACACACTGAAAGGTTTGGATGCAATTCACATATAGGTCAATTAAATGCAACAACATCTGCTCTCTCTCTAACATTTGCATATAGCATTCATATGTTAATGATGCCCCTTGTTTTTTTGTTTTTTTTTCCTTTCTCAGCGTGTGTGTACGCGCATGCTCCGCTGTTATTTGTTTCTCTCTTTATTTTCCGTACTTCCTACCCTCCTCCCAATCTATTTGTATCTCCAAACAAAAAGCAAAGCTGAAAATTTGGATTCATATTTCTCTATTTAGAAAAAAAACTCAATAAAAAAATGGAGAGAGAGAGAGAGAGTGGCGTCCTATTTTCACTTCCTCTAGCTTAACGATTAAAGGGGAGGTTAGATGGGTGCCACAGTTGTTCCTCTGCCATGCCCCTGATTTCTACAAGAAGCCTCTTTAACAGCAGAAAGGCAAGGCCCAATCTCTTCCCCAAGCAGCCCTAATGCCTTATAAATCAATGATGACACAGATGGACTAGCGATAATCTATTTAGAATGCCTCACAGCAAATATTGTTGTGCAGATGATTAGACAGCCAGTTATTTTAAATCAAGGCCCCCGAAAACCTAATCTTCTGTTTCTTCTGATGCTCCTCAGATTTATAAGAATAAAACATGTTTTGATGTTTTACTCATTTCATTTCAATTTCCTGAAAATATGCAGGTTTTTTTTGTCCTTCTCTGCATGTATATGTGACTGAGGAATGGATGTGTGACTCGGTGACATGACCTGCTTAAGGAACAAAAGACACCGTGTCTTCAAAGAGGGCGGAGGAGGACCTTTAGCTCAATTGTATCTCCGGGGCATTTGGGTGGCTCGTTTATGTGTGTGTATTAGAGTAGACTAGTGACACGAAGGAAGGGGGGGGGGGTGGTTAATGGCAATCCGGGGTCCCTGCCCCTTTTTCACGGTCGAGGAGAAGGGAGAGAGGAGGAGGAGCTGGGAGGGCAGAGGAGGAGTGCAGAAATGAAGTGGAGGTTGTCAGACGTGGCAACCGCTCGGAGGGGCCCTGATAAATATAAGCCCTTATTGATCGGTGGAAAATGAAAGATCCCCGAGTGGCGTGCAGTATTTAGCTTCTTGTCTGCCTCGCGTCAGCGGTGGCCTTGCCCTCGGAGGGATAGATTTCAGCCGTGCCTCCAGGCACCGCGGCGCGACCGGCTTTGATTTCATCTTTAACCTTTTTCAGCCACGTTTCCCTTGACCTCTGCAGCAGCGCTTACTGAATTTGTTAGATTTCCATCTTGACATTGATCCCCCCCCTCCTTGTCTTCCCTTCAACCTGCCTTCTTCCTAATGCTTCATCTTTCGTCCATCCTCCTCCTCCTCCCCTCTCTATATTTCATTATCACCTCTTTTCTCCTCCTCCTCTGTGTCTCCCTCTAGGTGGCCGCTCCAGTAAGCACCAGTCAGTGAAGAGTAGCAGCCACAGGCCTCTTCATCCCCACAAGTTGTGCCCCAGTATGCAGGTGCTGCATTAAGGTCAGTTTGAATGCTTTTTTTTAATATGTACTTTTATTTGTTTCTCACACTGTAAGTATAAAAGAACAGGACGCGTACACACACAGCAGAATGCACGCACACGTTCACACATTCCAACTGTTCGTCATTCACCCACCATTTAGTTTTATCCCCAAAGGCACCGTCTTAAACCAAAACACACACGCAGGCAGTCACACAGCTACAGTACACTGCTGTTATGTGCGCAGACAGAACTTGTAACAATCTGGATTGTGATAATCTATGATAATCATCCACCACATGCCACCTAAAAACGCACATGGGTGGCATTCAGCGCCCACACTGGCACGTCGCTTCTGTGCCACTTGCCTCCCTCCGCCGCTGCCCCCCTTCTCCAATGTCACTACCTCTCAGGTCAATGTCATCGCTCCCGTCTTTTATTTTTATCCTTTTTTTGTCGCACGGCGACTTAAAAAAAGGAATCTGAAACAATTTATGTTTAGCATTAGTGTGATTGAATCACACTCGTACATCAGAGGACAGATAGAAACGCAGTGTTAGAGATCCAAAACGACGACGCGGATCTGTCCCTCACTCCTGAACAATGTCTCCTGTCTCTTTTTGTATTCTCTCCCTCTCTCCCCTCCTTTAGCCGGATGGATGATAAATTCCCAGCTACAAAGCCAGCAACAGCTGTTGGCAGACAGGCCTGATATGAGAATAGCAGCATAGGATGAGCGGGCATTAAAAATTAATATGGTATTTAGCTTAGGTGTATTTTAGGTATTTGACATTTTCATGTCCGGGACGAACTAAATTTATTCATAGCTGAGAAAAAAAATAATAAAATCTAAAAAAAAAATTAAATAAAAAAAAAAAAGGGAGAAGAAGGAGAAAAGGGTGGAGGGAAGACTAAGCGAAGGCCATTTTGGTTTTATGGTCACTCTGGTTCACTTTGCCTCCCGCTACAGTGATCAATGTGAGCGCCGCTGCTTCGCCATCAGAGTGATTCTTTTCAATTTCAGCATCGAACTGAGGCTGGTTTGTGCCAGAGCGAGAACATTTTTCCTGGTTTTTGGTTTGGTTTAGCATTGAGGTCAGGTTTGGGTGAGGGTTCAGGACGTGGTGCGCCCACCGCCGCTCTCTGATATCCATCATTTCCTCCTATAGCCCATGTTTGTCGAAGTTAACACAGATATGCTTTTCAAAATAATAAAAAAGGACAACCATGTCGAGGTAGAAGGACCAAATAGCTAATAATACATCCTACTTTACTTTGGGTTTTCTATATAAATGTAAATTTGCCTTTTAGTTTAGTGCCAATTAGAAGCTCAGTAGAAGATGCCAACTTCAGCGTCGTTACCAGCTAACAATTAACCGGTCCCAGCCTTCCAACTGTGCTTATTAATCTTTTATATCTTGTCTAGCATAATTTAGACACCCAAAATCCTGTCACAATAATTATTTAATAATTTTAACTGCTGAAGATTTCTTTAATGTTCTTAACACAGTGTTGTCAGCCAGCCTGGTGAGAAGGCTGGGTGTTGACTCCATCACCAGAGCAACTCCAAACTACTTCCTCTCTGATTAAAAAACAGAAATAAATGAAGCTTCTCATAATGAAACCTTTTATTAAAGTAGACAAAAGGCTGCCAGTGATTGTGAAACAGATTTCACTTTGACAGGAGCTTTTCTGGTACCTTCTCATGGACACGTTTGTCTTACCTGCTGCTCCTCTGAGACATCAGGAGGTCAACAAAGAGCCCAGAGATTAAAGGCTGGTTCTTACGGGAAAATGTTTTCTTGATCTAAGAGTCCCCACAACTAGTGGTTAAAAATCCGACATAAAAAGGGCGGGTCCTGTGGTGTACAGCCACACGACGAGCCGAACACACCAGCAGTTCACTTCAATGTCAGATCTCTCTAATTTGATCTTGAGCAGAGCGTGTGAATGGAGCGAAGCGCCGCACAATTTCCGCTTACGGCTCAGGAAGATGTTCGCTCATTCGCTCTGCCACTCGAAGTTGCACCAGCCCTCGAAATTTGCTCTGCGCTCACCTTCCTACCATCCATCCATCCATCCATCCATCCATCCATCCATCCATCCATCCATCCATCCATCCATCCATCTTCTTCCACTTATCTGGGTTCGGGTCGTGGGGGTAGCAGCCTCAGTAGGGAGGCTCAGACGTCCCTTTCCTCAGTCTCTTGGTCCAGCTCCTCTGGGGGAATCCCACGGTGCTCCCAGGCCAGCCGAGAAACATAGTCCCTCCATCGTGTCCTGGGTCTCCCCCTGGGCCTCCCCCTGCGGGACATGCCTGGAACACCTCACCAGGGAGACGTCCAGGAGGCATCCTAATCAGATGCCTGAGCCACCTCAACTGGCTCCTCTCGATGTGGTGGAGCAGCGGCTCTACTCTGAGTCCTCCCCGGATGACTGAGCTCCTCCCCCTATCTATAAGGGAGAGCCCAGACACACTATGGAGAAAACTCATTTCAGCCGCTTGGATCCGGGATCTCTTTCTTTCGGTCATGACCCAGAGTTCATGACCATAGATGAAGGTAGGAACGTAGATCTACCGGTAAATCGAGAGCTTTGCTTTTTGGCTCAGCTCTCTCTTCACAACAACAGACCGGTACAGGGCACGCTTCACAGCAGACGCCACACTAATCCGCCTATCAATCTCCAGCTCCACCTTCCCCTCATTCGTGAAAAAGAGGGTTAGGGTGCGACTTACCTGGGTCTGACCAGGAGATAACGCTTCTCTCTAGATCTTAATGTCCATAAATCATGACAGAAAGAATATTTTAGTACAAAGATTGATGTTTAAAAAGGAAACTTAGGGGATCAGCCAAGGACCCATCAAGAAAAGTGGGGACATTTTGAATGGCTACTACTGTATCTACCCAACAATTTCATCTTCCTTTGTTTCATGCTTTCGTGTTCACTCAAGAACACGAAACAAAGGTGTTGAACCAACAAGATTGCAATATAGATGAAATGGATGCAAGCCATACCACCTGCATGTTAATATCATGTTCTCTTTAAGACATTAAACAATAATGGTAAATTAACGGAATATACTGAAATACCCAACATTTCAATGTAAAATGGCAAAAATAAATAACCAAATGTCCAATATTAAAAAATAGATTTTAAATTAGTATTGTTTTTATGCCTACTTCAACTGGTTCGCTGGAGTTGGGTTTTAACAGAGCAACATGGGGAACGCAGCACGCTTCACCAAAAAAGAAAACTTCTTTTAATCTCTATGGTCTTTAGCAGACATGATGCGGACATGACAGAGACCTTTTTACTTAATTACATTTCTTTGAATCCTGTGCCAACTGTAACCAAGATAAACAGGCACAATCCGTATCAGTTTGCAAGAATAATTTTCATTTGGTGCCATTTTCATTAGACTATCAGATGGAGCTGAAGTGCTGCCTGAGGATCCGCCGGCAACAGGTTATTGAAAGAAAGTATAGATATGGATGCAGTGGGAGCCAGAAAATGGCTTTTTAATGCTTTAACCAGCCAGTGATGCACATTTTAGGCAAACAATGTAAAAATAAAATGACAGACTTGAGGCACATTGGCTCATCCGATTATGGACATTTTTACCTTCTCTACCACACCATCCAGTTTCCTAATTAGCACTTTTTTCTCTCTTTTTAAAGCTTGGTGACTGTAAATGGAAACATTGCAGGACTTTGCTACTAATAAGAGTCAGAAAACATTTTGGAACCAACTTACAGAGCTAAGTTTTCAATTTCTCTGCTATCTAAGATACACCTACAGTAGTAGTCATTCAAAATTTCCCCACTTTAATTGACTGGCCCTTGGCTGGTCCCCTAAGATTCCTTTTTTAAACATCAATCTTTTTTCTACAATATTCTTTCTTTCATGATTTGTGGACATTAAGATCTAAAGAGAAGCGTCATCTCCTGGTCAGACCCTGTATTTCAGTGAAAGGTTGGAGTCAGAGTAAAGAAATATGCAAGAAGGGGTCACTCCAGTGGCTGGAAGTTGGCTGCCATTTGGCTGGTATTTGACTGGAAAGGCCATTTTAAATGGCTGCTACTGTATTGATATGAGAAATGTTTGCATTATTATGATTCAATAAACTATCATACCTGAATGAATTGATTTAAGTTTCCAGAGGTCGGTGGGGTCTGCCTGTCAGCTGTTCTATGAAATTGTGATAGCGTTGCTACAGAAATTGGTATCCTCAAGGCGGGTTAGCTAGAGGAAGTGAAAGGCGGGTCACTTTAAGCGCAACAACTACATACGATCTGATTTTCTGTTGGATCAGACGATAAATCATGTATGGCATGCTCTGGCCTTAACTTCTCTCCTGGCCTCCACTTTGAAAAAAAATGCACGTGCAAGAGTGTGCACAAGCCCATTTCTCCTCGTGCACTCCCTGTCAAAAAATGCAGTTCTCATTGCTCATGCAAGCTTACTGTGTCCACATACAGCGGGGACTATATAGTGGACTTTACAGCAAACTGACCGTTCGGACAGATGATCACTGCCTCCTCCACTGCGTGGTGCCTGCACCATTTTGTTATTAGTCGCCACTGTCGGGTAGCGACAGCCTGTGGCGACAGAGGGCTGCTGTGACAGCAAATCGAATAATACTTTACGAGGAGAGCTCTCTGCGCAAAGCATTGTGGGATATATCTGCCTCTTCTGAGGCCTTTCTTTTCTTCTCATACACTATATAGACACTTTTTCTCTTACGACCCTCTGTCATTTTCTGAAACCGTAGCTCACCACAGATGCCTGAAAGTGTGCATGCACAGAAAAAGATAGCTAACGGAATAAGCACGTAGGATGACCTTACGTGAACATATCACCAGAATGATTGACAGTTAGGGGGACCACCCAGAAAACATATGAAAAATATGAGGAAACAGAGAGACTGTTGGCTGGATATTAAAGAAGTTTTGCCTTAAAAACTCCTGGAAAAAGGGTGAACCCAACTGAACCAATTTCCTCTTGAGTGTCGGAGCTG